AAACTAGCTCCATATCTCCCTACTAGATACACTAGCTCCATATCTCCCTACTTGATACACTAGCTCCATCTTCCTACTAGATACACTAGCTCCATATCTCCCTACTTGATACACTAGCTCCATCTCCCTACTAGATACACTAGCTCCATATCTCCCTACTAGACCTACTAGATACACTAGCTCCATATCTCCCTACTTGATACACTAGCTCCATCTCCCTACTAGATACACTAGCTCCATCCCCCTGCTAGATAAAAGAATACATGTTTGTTGGTTTTATTGTCATGAGTTTTAACAAACAAAAATTAAAATGTTTAATCTTTTATAATTCTGTGGAAATAGTAAAACCTCTGCTGGTAGAGTTGGTAGACGCTCTTTGAAAATAAATCTAATTATAATCCTTATGTCGCTTCCATTGTTTAAAAGAACATTAATTACTTTTCATGAATATATTTAGAAACAAGAATATGGTTTAAACTGGTTCAAGGTTGTTACGCAAAAAATCGACTAAAATAGAATCAGAAGAAGGATTGCTGCGTAATGATAAAAACAAGGATATACTCTATCTTAATTTTATAAAATTCGAACCTGTGACCGTCCTGAGTGGAGGAGAATGGTTCCCAACTGCTTCCTGTGGAATGAGGCCTAGGCGTCCTTCGCGCTTGTTCTCCTAGATTGGTGTCTCTCATTTACTCTGCAAGAAGGAGTTGTGGTTTGTTCTAAACAGAAATAAGCATATTTAGTATAATCTGTATATATAAAGATCTGTTAGCTCATTCTGGATACCTGGAAGTCTGGGTTCTCTACTACGTCCTTCAGATCTACTTTTCCTCTTCTACTGATCTTTTAATCCCGTCTAGTCTGCCGTGAATTGCTTCTAAGTTATTGGTTTGGTTCATGGATGCTTCCCTGAGAAGAGCATTCTTGACTAAACCTTTAGTTGTCTCCTTAAATATTTCGTACTTCTCTTATATTTATCTACTCCGGGTTGACTCGTTCCTTTACATTCCTTGGCCCATGCAGCAATTTCTACCTTTAAAGCTTCTACCTGACTAAGGGAAATAGCTGACTTGGTTCTGACATTTTAATTGAATCGGGATTTCCACCTTGTCCCGAGGCCCAGATCTATTTACCCTGCTGTTTAGTTCTGAGATTAGACCCTGGAGAAACAAGGGAACCTGACCCACTAGATAGATTGGGTTCATGACTATAGTTCTTGAACCTGTTAACGATAAAGACCTTCGTCTGGGAAGTTCACCCCCTGATGGGTTATCCATCCTATATTATGTCTTCCCGGTATAGAACCGTGAGAAGAATCAAAGCACAAAGAAAAGTAAATTGGATTAAAAGGGAAAAAGACTGAATAAGTCAAACAAAATTTAATATCTCTTTTTAAATGTGTTTAATGTATTTGTTGTGTTTGGAAGAGGGTGAAACAATCTTGTTAAAAGTTGAACCAACTCCAGGTTCAACTTTACTCTTGGAAATATAAAGACTGGTTTCTGTTTCTGTATTTATGTTCTCCTGCCAAAACCAATTATTTCTCTGTCCGAAAAACATCTATTGAATGTTATTAACATATTCTAGCATAACCTACTCTCCTAGAACTTGTTTATCCCGTGTTTACTTGGAAAATATTGAATATTGGTCCAATTAATTCCTTCTCTGCGTCTCATTTCATTCTGAATAAATACTTTTTAGAATTCATTTTGTATTTTTTTCAGAATATTTACTTTTTCTTTTTCTCTCTAATATTTTCTCTTTTCTTTCAAATATTTCAAATTAAAATTTTCTAATCCATGTTACGGTTCGTTTTACACATTTAGTTGGTTTTTATTTTAAGAGGCCCCGCAAAAATTCATGATAACTTTTAACAACGCTAATAATTTTAATGTTTTTTCATTTCTTTTATCTCCAGAGTTTACAATATTGTGTACCGTCAATTTTTACTCTGTATGTTATTTTTATGTTTATAACTCAAATCACTTGTTCATTTTAATCCGCTTTATCCTGTCCCTAGTTGTCTAGTTCCGGTTCCCTTTATTCTCTTCCTATAGTTGTCTAGTTCCGGTACCATCTATCCTGCTTCTAGTTGTCTAGTTCCGGTCCACACTATTCTTCTCTTAGTTGTCTAGTTCCGGTACCTTCTATCCTGCTTCTAGTTGTCTAGTTCCGGTTCACACTATTCTTCTCCTAGTTATCTAGTTCCGGTACCCTCTATCCTGCTTCTAGTTGTCTAGTTCCGGTCCACACTATCCTTCTGCTAGTTGTCTAGTTCCGGTCCACACTATCCTTCTCCTAGTTGTATAGTTCCAGTACTCTCTATCCTTCTCCTAGTTGTATAGTTCCGGTTCCCTCAATCCTTCTCCTAGTTGTATAGTTCCGGTCCACACTATCCTTCTCCTAGTTGTATAGTTCCGGTCCACTCTATCCTTCTCCTAGCTGTATAGTTCCGGTCCCCTCTATCCTTCTTCTAGTTGTATAGTTCCGGTCCACACTATCCTTCTTCTATTTGTCTAGTTCCGGTCCACACTATCCTTCTCATAGTTGTCTAGTTCCGGTCCACACTATCCTTCTCCTAGTTGTCTGGTTCCGGTCCACACTATCATTCTTCTAGTTGCCTAGTTCCGGTACCCTCTATCCTTCTCCTAGTTTTATAGTTCCGGTCCCCTCTATCCTTCTCCTAGTTGTATAGGTCCTGTCCCCTATATCCTTCTCTTAGTTGTATAGTTCCGGTCCCCTCTATTCTTCTTCTAGTTGTATAGTTCCGGTACCCTCTATCCTTCTCTTAGTTGTATAGTTCCAGTTCCCTCTATCCTTCTTCTAGTTGTATAGTTCCGGTACCCTCTATCCTTCTCTTAGTTGTATAGTTCCGGTTCCCTCTATCCTTCTCCTAGTTGTCTAGTTCCGGTCCACACTAACTTTCTCCTAATTGTCTAGTTCCGGTCCCCTCTATCCTTCTCCTAATTGTATAGTTCCGGTTCACACTATCCTTCTCCTAGTTGTATAGTTCCGGTCCACACTATCCTTCTCCTAGTTGTATAGTTCCGGTTCCCTCTATCCTTCTCCTAGTTTGTATAGTTCCGGTCCTCTATATCCTTCTCCTAGTTGTATAGTTCCGGGCCACACGAACTTTCTCCTAATTGTCTAGTTCCGGTCCCCTCTATCCTTCTCCTAGTTGTATAGTTCCGGTTCACACTATCCTTCTCCTAGTTGCCTAGTTCTGGTTCACACTATTCTTCTCCTAGTTGTCTAGTTCCGGTCCACACTATCCTTCTCCTAGTTGTCTAGTTCCGGTCCCCTCTATCCTTCTCCTAGTTGTATAGTTCCGGTCCACACTATCCTTCTCCTAGTTGTATAGTTCCTTGTCCACACTATCCTTCTCTTAGTTGTCTAGTTCCAGTTCCCTCTATCCTTCTCCTAGTTGTATAGTTCCGGTCCCCTATATCCTTCTCCTAGTTGTATAGTTCCGGTCCACACTATCCTTCTCCTAGTTGTATAGTTCCGGTTCCCTCTATCCTTCTCCTAGTTGTATAGTTCCGGTCCACACTATCCTTCTCCTAGTTGTCTAGTTCCGGTCCACGCTATCCTTGTCTAGTTCCGGTCCCCTCTATCCTTCTCCTAATTGTATAGTTCCGGTTCACACTATCCTTCTCCTAGTTGTATAGTTCCGGTCCACACTATCCTTCTCCTAGTTGTATAGTTCCGGTTCCCTCTATCCTTCTCTTAGTTTGTATAGTTCCGGTTCCCTCTATCCTTCTCCTAGTTGTATAGTTCCGATCCCCTCTATCCTTCTCCTAGTTGTATAGTTCCGGTTCCCTCTATCCTTCTCCTTGTTGTATAGTTCCGGTCCCCTCTATCCTTCTTCTAGTTGTATAGTTCCGGTACCCTCTATCCTTCTTTTAGTTGTATAGTTCCGGTCCACACTATCATTCTCCTAGTTGTATAGTTCCGGTCCACACTATCCTTCTCTTAGTTGTCTAGTTCCGGTTCCCTCTATCCTTCTCCTAGTTGTATAGTTCCGGTCTGTATAGTTCCAGTTCCCTCTATCCTTCTCTTAGTTGTATAGTTCCGGTCCCCTCTATCCTTCTCCTAGTTGTATAGTTCCGGTCCCCTAGATGTAATTTATTTGATGGAAATTTTATCAACTTTGGAAAATCAATTTCAAAATCTGTTAAAACTCGTTTTCCTCAAATATTAACATTTTTGACGGATCAGCATTTATAAAATTTTCATTTCAATTCTCCGTTTTCAAAGACAGACAACTGTCTTTCGTCAAACTGGATCATCGATTCTTTCTGAAGGATTTTCCACAGAAATCCAAGTAAAAAAACCTTTTTGACAGTTTTCATTAAAGGAGCTTGAGGTGTGACTTCAAGTGATTCTCCATGCAAAGATGGCAATGTCGGATTCACCACCGTACCCTTTACATGATTGTCTGATCAAGTATGAGAAAATCTCTGCATAATTCAATATTTTCTTTAAGTCTTAAAAAAATATGTATTTCTATACTCAATAGAATGTTATATTTCGCATAGATATTAAACAAATAGGTAGAAATATATTTGAAGTTTAAAAAATACAAAAATTATACACAGCAAATAGAAAAGATTAAAAATAAATTAAATATTTGCCGCAAATTATGATTTTCTATCCCAATGTCGTAAACCTTAGAACCTATGAATTCTGTCAGTTTAAATAATCTAATTTTGAAACATCAAAGGTTTACACCATCAGGTTTCAAAGATTTATGGATTAGACAATTAGAGTTTGTTGCAAAGAATCAAATCCATCAGAAATAGTTACACAATTGTTTAAGAATGTTTGAAGGAAATAACACTACACCCACTTCTTCTTTTCTCAAACACGTCAGAGGTGTAAGGTTACGGATCAAATGAAAAACAATGCTTTTTATAGATTACAATGATGTTTGTTGTTTTTTAAAATCCAGAGCCCCCTTCATTAGATGTCAGACTTGATATTCAGCTACTACAGGATTAATCAGAAAGCATGAGACTGTAAAGACTTGATATTCAGCTACTACAGGATTAATCAGAAAGCATGAGACTGTAAAGACTTGATATTCAGCTAATACAGGATTAATCAGAAAGCATGAGACTGTAAAGACATTTGAGGTTAAATTAAATCTTCTGCATTGAATATAATACTATAATGATTCATTAAATGATCTAACAATAAAAGAAAAAGTTAACAGTTGCAGGGAATCAAAACTAGTATAAGGAAAAAGACAGTATGAATGCTGTATAGTCGTCTCTAATTTCTTATCCTGTGTGGGTAACCCTGCATTATGTTACTCAGCTCAATACAATGCAACGTGTTCCATGCATGATCCATGTACGCTACAGTACAGTACAAAAAAACAAGATGCTTGCATAGATCACAAAGTACAACAGAGCCTGAAATTTAAAAGAGTATCGTTGAACGAAACTCCCGAGTTTCCTTTTTGGGGTCTTGGCAATTGTGTAAATTTTGATTTAAGAAATTTAAAAAAAAGAAGAATATGAAGAAACTTAATAAAATAATATTTCACAACAAAAATATTGATATCCACAAAACTGCCTAACCCCATTCTTGAAACCCGGGTTTCAAAACTAGTTTTCATAACGATACCCTGTCTTACGTTTTGGGCTCGGAGAGTTAAATGTCGTTTATTACAGATGAAAGCCCAGCCCAGCCCAGATACAATCCTGAAGTTTAAAATAAATTAATGTTAATCAAGGCACAGGTTACAAGGAGTCCCAGTTAATATAATACAGGGAGTCTCAGTAAACATAGTACCAGGAGTACCAGTAAACATGGTACAGGGAGTCCCAGTAAACAGTTTACAGGGAGTCCCAGTAAACAGTTTACAGGGAGTCCCAGTAAACAGTTTACAGGGAGTCCCAGTAAACAGGGTACAGGGAGTCCCAGTAAGCAAGGTGCAGGGAGTCCCAGAAAATATGGTACAGGGAGTCCCAGTAAACAGTTTACAGGGAGTCCCAGTAAACAGTTTACAGGGAGTCCCAGTAAACAGTTTACAGGGAGTCCCAGTAAACAGGGTACAGGGAGTCCCAGTAAGCAAGGTGCAGGGAGTCCCAGAAAATATGGTACCAGGAGTCCCAGTAAACATGGCACAGGGAGTCTCAGTAAACAAGGTACAGGGAGTCCCAGTAAACAAGGTACCAGGAGTCCCAGTAAACAAGGTACAGGGAGTCCCGGTGAACAAGGTACAAGGAGTCCCAGTAAACAAGGAACAGGGAGTCCCAGTAAACAAGGTACAAGGAGTCCCAGTAAACAAGGTACATGGAGTCCCAGTAAACAGGGAGTCCCAAGATTTCTGCATATATTTTTTAACGTGTTCTCATTCTGACCTGCCATGAATAGACTGCTACTCCTACAAGAACGGGAGCAACGTAGAATATTCCGAAATTTAACAACTTAATCATTCGAACAGCCTGATTAGGAACAACAGAATAAACAAATTTTAAAGAAAGCTCCAGGAGCGTTTTTTGCCATTTTTTCAAGTAACAGTTTTAGCTTTTTAATGTTGGTTTTTTAAGCTTTACGTAAACATTAATGGATTTTTAACAAATATTCAAATCGAATTTTTTCTGGGATCAAGGCACAAAAAATTGGGCCTTTTCACTGCAAACAAATATATATATATCATATATATAAATGTTTTACTTTTGTATTTTCCAGGAGACACAATAGAAATATAAGATTATCTCTGTCAAAGTAAAATATTAAGATTTGTGAAAGTTAAATTTGAAATTAGATTTAGATTTAATTAAATGCGGCATTAATGAAAAACAATAAAGTTCTGTTATTTAAATATTTTGTTAAAAGTTTGGTTTAATGCTTTGTCATTCTCTCCTTCTGTATAGAAGCAGTATCGTTGACTCGTGGATACGGTTCATCCGGAATATCAAATCCTAGAATAAATATGAAGAATCTAACATCATGATTTTTCAAATTACTCCTTTTAAACTGAAACGTGTTGACTAGGACTAGAAAAAAATGATAAATGAGATTATAATGTAAAACAACAGGACAAGGTTTTGCTACATTTTAAAGTCAACCCGGTCTTGAAAACTGATGCAAGAATAGTATACCAATAACAGGGTATAGTCATAGAGAATAGAATATATTGTTATTGTGAGTGCAGATAATCATTCAAATCATCTTCCTATATACTGCAAACTTAATATAGAACTCATAAACTTAAATGTAGAACCTGAGATAAAAAGGCCTAAACCCAGCTGGGATAAAGCTAACCTAGATCAAAGGCAGGACTATGATGAAACCTTGAATAATCTTTTATTAGAAATTAATCCTCAAAAAAAATACTGAAAGCATCTACTTATTAATTTATCAGCCAGTTGCCCAGAAATGAAAAAATCTTGAAAAATCTAATTGTTGAATTCAATGAAAATCAAACATTTTTGCTTTTTTATTTCTTTTTCTTTCAAAATATATTATTTCTGGATAAAAAATATGAAAAAGTTTTGTTTACCAAGAAAATCACAAAGAGGTTTCCATCCCTCCTTTGCACTGTGAACGAGTAATCTCTCTGAAATATTTTTAATAAAAAATCATTTTTTAATCAAAAAAATATTTGACATTTTTTATTCTGATTACCGGCAGAGATAGAGGCCTTAACATTCTCCTCCCAATCTGAAAATAATCTTTTATCATTTTTTTAATTTTTCCCAATTAACATGATCGAACTGATTCATAAACTTTTCCCAAATAATATCATTTAAGTTATTTATAAACTTTTCCCAAATAATATCATTAAACTTATAAATTACTGTTTGTAACTATTAAGTACTGTTTGTACCTATAAAGTACTGTTTGTACCTATAAAGTACTGTTTGTAACTATAAAGTACTGTTTGTACCTATAAAGTATTGTTTATACCTATAAAGTACTGTTTGTAACTATAGAGTACTGTTTTTACCTATAAAGTACTGTTTGTAACTATAAAATACTGTTTGTAACTATAAAGTACTGTTTGTAACTATTAAGTACTGTTTGTACCTATAAAGTACTGTTTGTAACTATAAAGTACTGTTTGTACCTATAAAGTACTGTTCGTACCTATAAAGTACTGTTTGTAACTATAAAGTACTGCTAGTAACTATAAAGTACTATTAGTAACTATAAAGTACTATTAGTAACTATAAAGTACTGTTTATACCTATAAAGTGCTGCTTGTACCCATAAAGTATTGTTTGTACCTATAAAATACTGTTTGTATAAATAAAGTACTGTTTGTAACTATAAAGCACTGTTTGTAACTATAAAGTACTGTTTGTACCTATAAAGTACTGTTCGTACCTATAAAGTACTGTTAGTAACTATAAAGTACTGTTTGTAACTATAAAGTACTGTTAGTACCAATAAAGTACTGCTTGTACCTATAAAGTACTATTTGTACCTATAAAATACTGTTTGTACCTATAAAGTACTGTTTATACCTGTAAAGTACTGCTTGTACCTATAAAGTACTGCTTGTACCTATAAAGTACTGTTTGTGCCTATAAAATACTGTTTGTACCTATAAAGTACTGTTTGTACTTATAAAGTACTGTTTGTACCTATAAAGTACTGTTTGTACCTATAAAGTACTGTTTGTACCTATAAAGTACTGTTTGTAACTATAAAGTACTGTGTGTAACTATAAAATATTGTTTGTACCTTTAAATTACTGTTTGTAACTATAAAGTACTGTTTGTACCTATATGTACTATATAAAGTACTGATTGTACCTATAAAGTACTGCTTGTAGCTATAAAGTACTCTGTGTACCTATAAAGTACTGTGTGTAACTATAAAATACTGTTTGTACCTATAAAGTACTGTTTGTAACTATAAAGTACTGTTTGTAACTATAAAGTACTTTTTGTTCCTATAAAGTACTGTTTGTACCTATAAAATACTGTTTGGCTGTATCCGGTCCTGCAGTGATAGCCTCGTGCATTGATAAATCCATGCCCGGTCCCTTAGTTTCCATCAGTTTAGCCATCCAGTTCACTACAAATAGGAACATATTTTAATTTAAGAAGTTTAATGGTTTTAAAATTCATAATATTGTCAGTAAGCAAATAGGATTGTGCCTGGAATAACTTAAAAACATCAAAAAAACAGTGATAAAAAATTACGAACTAATCTAAAAGATAAAGTGTTAATATATTGGTATTTATTATAATAATCCAATTAATTCATTATTTAATATATCTATTACAACTTAATAGCTGAAGCTCTATTGTTTAGAATATTACTTAATACTAAAAATAATATTAATTAAGTTTGTAAATTCATTTATTTATTTATTTATATTTGCTTGTTTGTCTTTCTGTATCCAATAAACATCAAAACGTGTGAACCGGCCGATCTGGCCCAATTTTTTTGTGGCAACTCAAATGACCCAAGGGAAGGATTGTCAAAGATGAAAAATGTTTCTCGAGAAAAATGTCGACATTTATTATTGTTTAAAATTAACCGGTCGTGCCAAAAATGATTGTTTAGCAATTCTAATGAACCAAGGAAAGTTTTAGGCAATGGTCAAATTGAAAAGTGTTGCCTGGACAAAAATGTAGAAATTTTTTTTGAAGATGCGCCAATTTTAAAGAGAAACATTACATCCTTGCAATTCAGCTTTTTAATTGGCTAAGAATAGAATTATACATATCTATTTATATTTCATATTTTTTACATATATATATATATATATATCATAATTATACACCGGACTAACCATGAGTGAGCAGCATTCGGTTTCTTCTATTTGAAATCAAACGTGCTTTTGGTCTTTAATTCAATAATCATTTACTTTACGGATTTGTTTATTTTATACATTTTCATTTAAAATGCATATGCCAACAAAAAAGTATTTAAGAAAAAAAAGGCAAACAAATTATGTTTAATGGGTCAAATTGGGATCAAAAGTCACAGCTTTCTTGAATATTGACAGAACCGTTAAATCCACGTGCCTAGGGACTAGATAGAAGTTACTTAGGTTAAAATCATATATTTAGGTTTCAGTGTGGAATCCCCTTCCAAGAATTTTCAAGTATTCTTAAAAACGTGAAGAAAAGAAGAAAAACTTTCAGCGGCAATAAAACTTCTGAGAAAACACATTCCCAACTAAATCTTCACAAACATTACTCAAAACTATTTTTTCTAAACTATTTTATTATTTCTGCAAAGTTTTGTGGAAAATTATGATTTCCTTTCAACTAAATCTACAGTTACGAAGATATTAATTTACATTTTCAGATTAATTATTCACAGTTTCTAACATTAAAATCTGATTTTCCAATCCTAATATCTTTACAACCCAATGTCGTAGACATTAGATATTTCAAACTGTAAATTATGTTAGATCAAATAATCAAAGTTTGAAATATGAAGAGTTTACACCAACAGGTTGCAAAGATGTAAGGATTAGAACATTTGTGTTTGTGGCAAAGACTTTAGCAGCTTTATATATTCTGAAGGAATTGTTCAGTGTTCACATTGATTGGTTGCCTATTAGAAAATAGAGCTTACTTTTTAATAGCTCTGATAATTAGAAAAAATGGAGCTAAGATTGAAAACATGCAAGATTTTAATGTAATGCGAAATTAATTTTATTTTGACGTAAAATCCTCTTAATTTACAACTGGCGGGCCGATCGATGTCTGAAGCTTAATCAAGCAAACCTTGCAGCTTTATTCACCTGGTCTTTTTTTGTCCAGCATCTTAAAGAGAAGATGAGCAGTCCATGAGTTCTCTTTGAATAATTGAACCTGCCAGATAGATTCATACACAGATGTATACCATTTCTCAGGTTCACGGGTAGACAGGACAACCTCAACACAATATAAATAAAGTTGTAATCTCTGTGTGTTTGTCCGATCATGACTCAGGAACCTCTGGACTGTTTTGCCTCTAATTTTAATTGGGGAACTCGGTAGGCCCACGGGGAATGTTCTTAGCTTTGTTTAAAGATCCTGAGTTGAGTGGGTCGACTTTAATTGAAAAAAACTTTCCTGTTAAAATCGTTCAAGTGCGGGTAAACAGCGGAAGTAACTTTTAGTAACCTAGGCAGCACTGGGTTCCCAAAGCTTTTATATATTTATTGTTAAAAGAAGTTTACGACATTTTATTTATAAAGGTTACATTTTTTTCAATCTTTTAAAGTTTAAAAGTGTCGATTGGAATTTTTCTAAAATCTTTGAAAATTGTCCTTTAAAACAGGAAAAATCCGCAAATTGTTATAATTTAAAAATTATAGGAAAAAGAAATGTTTGCAGATTGAAGAACAAATGCTACGATTATTACTAAAAATGGAGCGCACTGGAAAATGTTTTTGGATCCATTGTCAATGTTAAATGGGTAAACATGAAGTTTAGGGGCCCCTCTCCATGTAAAAGCCCCTGGATATGTTTTCTTGAAGATATAAACTTGAGAAATCCACAGCTTTGGTTTCCTCTGTCTTGAGTGTTTGCAAACAAAAACTCCATTGAAGGACTGTTATTTTTAGTTTTGTTAAATTTATCAAATATTGTTTTGAATATTGTGTTCCATTATTTGAACAGAATAACACTTTACTTAAAGAGAGAGTTGTCAAAATCCATTGAAAATATTCCATGTTGGAAAGTATATTTTTAAAATACAGGGTGTCCCAAAAAACATGGAAATTCAGTGATGAATTGGATATCGTCTTTGTTATGAATTAGCATTGTAATACCTAATTTAAAAAGCCATAATATTATTATGTCTGCTAGAGTTTATCTAATGAAAACGATAAATGACTGTAAAGATGTGTCTATAATGTCTCCGCAAGATGAACAGTGAAGACGGACAAGTTTACTCTGTTTGTATACTGCAATTTTCTTGTTTTACTAAGTACAACCGTATGCGGTCAAAACATAAACAAACAAAATGTGAACCTAGCAGACGAAACTCTTACAGATTACAGCTTTCTCAGTAGGTATCACTATATACTAAATCAAAGAATTATATAAAAAGACGATATCGAATTCGTCACTGAATTCCTATGTTTATTGGGACACCCTGTATCATCTAAAGACGAATATCGAAAGATATCTTATAAAGTTATTTGTTGCTTTCTATAGAACACGTCTAAAAATTATTAAAGGTTAATAAACAAATATTTAATAGAACCCCCTCTCTGTCCTATACATAAACACGCTACGATAATATGATCCTTTTAAACAATCCAATATTTTTCAAGGTAAAAATAATTTTTAGATGTTCTAGTATAGTGAAAAATGTAAACCTTGATATGTTTCGCTATTTACTGTTGTACCCAAAAAACTGTGGAATAGGAAGACGACTGTGAGACTCAAGTTTTAATTTGAAAACCCCAAAGAACATGAAACGCACCAATACAGTGTGCACATACTATTTTATTTAATTAAATAATTTTTAAGCTCTGGTAAAACATGATATTATTGATTAAATGTCGTCTTCATAGTCCGAAATTGGTCCTTCTGTAGTGAAACAGCGTATCTATAATAAGGAATTTAGTCTTTTTCGCGAACTTAATTTTTAATCACTTTATCTTTGAAACCTGATTGTGAAAACCTTTGATATTTCGAACTTACATTGTTTGACCGAACAGTATTCCTAATTTAAAATATTTGAGGTCTACAACATTGGATTGCAAAGATATAGGGATTAGAAAATCAGATTTTGTGGCAAAGGCTCAATTCCTCTATACCTTAGCATTAGGATACACAGTCACCAGATCCTTCCAGAACAAGGAGAAGGGATAATCAACTCCGGATATATATCCCTGGATATACATTATTAAAGGGACTGTATACGGATATATATCCCTGGACATACATTATTATAAGGGGCTGTACGGATATATATCCCTGGATATTTACATTATTAAAAGGAATGTACGGATATATATCCTAGAATACACATTATGAAAGGGACTGTACGGATATATATTACTGGATATACATTATTAAAGTGACTGTACGGTTATATATCCCTGGATATACATTATTATACTGACTGTACGGGTATATATTCCTCGATATATATTATCAAAGGGACTGTACGGGTATATATCCCTGGATATAAATTATTAAAGGGACTGTACGGATATATATTCCTGGATATACATCATTAAAGGGACTGTACGGGTATATATCCCTGGATATACATTATTAAAGGGGCTATACGGGTATATATTCCTGGATATACATTATTAAAGGGACTGTACGCATATATATCCCTGGATATACATTATTGAAGGGACTGTACGGGTAAATATCCCTGAATATACATTACTAGCCTTAGAGGGCGCTTCGCGCCCATCTTCTAAATTAATTGTGAACATGTTCTCTTTGTGTACATCGTAAAACAAAACAAAAATAATTCGCGGATTTTCACAAAGAATTTCGTGGATTTTCAAAATTTTAAAAAATTTAATGAGATCGAATTTTGATTGAGACAAATATTTAAAATTTCAATCATTCATAAACCTTCCCTGGGGTCCCTAGATGTTCCACAAAAAATTTGGGCCCGATCGGTTCAGCCGTTTGACGTTTATTGGATACAAACACACAGACAGACAAACAAACAAACAAACAGACAGACAAGCCAAATTTATATGTAGATTAAAGGGACTGGCCGGATATATACCCCTGGATATACAACATTAAAGGGACTGTATTGATATATATTCCTGGATATACAACATTAAAGTTTTCGTAGTTTTCTTCAAACCTTTGTCTAGGAAATTATTAAGGTATTTTTAAGGTACTAGCCTTAGAGGGCGCTTTGCGCCCATCTTCTAAATTAATTGTGAACATGTTCTCTTTGTGTACATAGTAAAACAAAACAAAAATAATACGCGGATTTTCACAAAAAATTTCGTGGATTTTCAAAATTTTAAAAAATTTAATGACGATCAAATTTTGATTGAGACAAATATTTAAAATTTCAATCATTCATAAACCTTCCATGGAGTCCCGAGATGTCCCACAAAAAATTTGGGCCCGATCGGTTCAGCCGTTTTGACGTTTATTGGATACAAACAGACAGACAGACAAACAGACAGACAAGCCAAATTTATATATAGACGGCACGTTATATAGATAGATACATAGATTGTAATCGTTGCTTAAGGAGTTATGGAGCGGAGAAAAAAAGGAAATTAATAGAATTTATAACTTTTCGGGAGATATGAATACGAAATCGTCCTCTTCTGATAAAAGGATAAAGAGTACAGTGGCCGAATTTAAAGAATTTGAGCGGCGGTTTAAATTTATGCCGCGGCTTAAATATGGTTGGTTACACTTAAAATTGTATCAAATGTTTCAAGATTTAAGTCGGCGCTTAATTTAAACCGGGTTTTGGCAGATTTAAATCGCGGCTCAAATTCTTTAAATTCCATCTCAGTACACATGTAATCGTAGATAAATCACAGTTAGAACCGGATCACTGACAATTTATACATTATTTTGCTTCATCTTGAAATAAAATTTAAATATATCTTTAAAGTTCTTAAAAATATATTTTTCATGTTTGTGCTTTGATGACTTCCTTTGAGACATTATTTGATTTGCATCCAAATATATTAAACAGGGACGATTTATTTCTGTTGGAAATGTTGATATTGTATTCTTAAACTGTTTCATAAAATAAGACGATTTTAAAATGTCGTCGTCCTTGTTTTTTAATAGCCGGGATATCTCGATCTGCAGATTCAAAAAAGTTGCATAATCCCAATATCTTTGCAACCTTATGCTATAAACAGTTGATTTCTTAAATTTAGACTATTTTATCTAAAAGAATTCATATTTTGAAATGTCAAAGGTTGCAAAGAAATAGGAATTAGAAAATTTAGAGTTTGAGGCAAAAAATCTATTTCTTTGATAAATGAACTCTCTGCATATTTCAGAGTCTAGCAATATCATGGGGACACATCTTGAATAATCACGATGGGGACAATTTTATTTTCAGGAGTAAGAAAACGAATAAATGAACTTTAAACAAAAGATGGGACCGACAGTTTATAGAAAAAAGGTCGAGACCAGAAAGGATTATTGAAGATAAAAAACCTAGTTTGAAAGTTTATCAATAATGGTCGACACCAGAAGCTTGAAGATAAAGGACGAGGCCGGAAGATTTTTTTTAATTGAGGATTTGAAAAATTATTCATAATAAAGCTTTGTCTGACATTGTAAGTCTTGTAAGTAAATTACTTTTTTAATCCAGAGATAAAGTAAAATTAATCTGTTTTAATTAAATTTCCATCTCTGAAAATTAAAACTTTTACTTAAATCTTGAAATTAAAATTTTTACCTCCTTCTTAATAGTAAATTTTTTGCCTTTTTCTTAAAGTTTAAATTATTACCTCTTTCCTACTATTCAAATTTTGTACTTCTTTCTTAAAGTTAAAAATTTTTATCTCTTTCTTTGAGTTTAAATTTGTTACCTCTTTCTTAAAGCTTAATTTTTTTACCTCTTTCTTAAAGTCTAAATTTTTACTTCTTTCTTAAAGTTTAAATTTTTTACCTCTTTCTGAAAGTTTAAACTTTACCTCTTTCTTAAAGCTTAATTTTTTTACCTCTTTCTTAAAGTCTAAATTTTTACTTCTTTCTTAAAGTTTAAATTTTTTACCTCTTTCTGAAAGTTTAAATTTTTACCTCTTTTTTAAAAAATGTTGTCCAGTCTTCAGCAGAGTTTTTACCATCAGCTGCATTCAACCAAAGATCAACATGCTCCTATTTCATAATTATTTCAACCAACATATCATATGTAGGAAATTTAAAATAACTGATTGTTTAACTAGAGGGACACGTAGTATTGTGGTAGCATCTTGCACTGATCCCTTGAAGGTCTCCATCATGTGGTAGGATCTTGCACTGTACACCTGGTGTTTACCTGGGATCCCTTGAAGGTCTCCATCATGTGGTAGCATCTTGCACTGTACACCTGGTGTTTACCTGGGATCCCTTGAAGGTCTCCATCATGTGGTAGCATCTTGCACTGTACAACTAGTGTTTACCTGGGATCCCTTGAAGGTCTCCATCATGTGGTATCATCTTGCACTGTGCACCTGGTGTTCGCCTGGGATCCCTTGAAGGTCTCCATCATGTGGTAGCATCTTGCACTGTACAGCCGGTGTTTACCTGGATCCCTTGAAGGTCTCCATAATGTGGTATAATCTTGCACTGTACACCTGGTGTTTACCTGGGATCCCTTGAAGGTCTCCATCATGTGGTAGCATCTTGCACTGTACAGCCGGGTCAGGGCGACCTTCAGGGACAAGGTCCCAGTCCTGGGCAAACCAGCTCCTAAATTTATAAATACTTTTGTGTTTGATTGGTGAGATTTCTTAGTGGATATTTAAAAGTTCTAGATTTTACAAATATTACTTTAATGATAAAGAATTTGAGGAATCAAGCAAAACAAAGTTTGAGTTGAGAACGTGTACACCAAGATCTTTTAACCAGATTGTAATCACTTTTAAGTAAAAATACTGCTTGGTTAGGGGTTTAATGTCAAATTAGAGCTGAGAACTTTTAAATGAAGTGAGTTTTATTTAAAACTTAGTTTTTTCTCTGTGTTCAAATATCCCAACTGGGATCACGTTTATTAAACTAGCTTTCCTCGAAAAAAAACTAGCAAACAAAAATCTAAAAATCTTGAAACACATGCAATTTTTTTTTGTAACATTTAGTTAGTAAAAATTGTAATAGAGATTTTGAAAATTAGCTTTTTATTATGATAATTATGAAAGCTTCACCACGTAGTAATTTGCCTTCAGTTGGTTTGATTTTGGTTCATTTAGTTTAAGAAGAGCAAATAATTTAAAACTGTTTATTCTAAAAATTCATTATTTGTTATACACCAAATCAAATTTTGACCCTAATAGAAGATATATGCAAAAAACCAACCCAAAAACGATCCCAAAACGATCGTTATTTGATCGCTTTTCCATTTTTTTAAAATCTTGTAGGATAAAGATATTGGAAAACTTTATAAACGCAAACTTTAACATAATACAGATTTGAAATGTTGGAAGTTTTATTAATTCTTTTAAACAATCCAAACAATTAACAACGCTAGCTGTACAGAGTATACACACCCACACAGGATTGGGGTTTTAAACGACGCTAGCTGTACAGAGTACGCACACTTTTAAACAACGCTAGCTGTACAAAGTACACACACCCACACAGGATTGGGGTTTTAAACAACGCTAGCTGTGCAGAGTACACACATCCGCACAGGATTGGGGTTTTAAACAACGCTAGCTGTACAGAGTACACACATCCGCACAGGATTGGGGTTTTAAACAACGCTAGCTGTACAGAGTACACACATCCGCACAGGATTGGGGTTTTAAACAACGCTAGCTGTACAGAGTACACACATCCGCACAGGATTGGGGTTTTAAACAAAGCTAGCTGTACAAAGTACACACATTCGCACAGGATTGGGGTTTAAACAACGCTAGCTGTACAGAGTACACACATCCGCACAGGATTGGGGTTTTAAACAACGCTAGCTGTACAGAGTACACACATCCGCACAGGATTGGGGTTTTAAACAAAGCTAGCTGTACAAAGTACACACATTCGCACAGGATTGGGGTTTAAACAACGCTAGCTGTTCAGAGTACCAACATCCGCACAGGATTGGTGTTTTAAACAACGATAGCTGTACAGAGTACACACACCCACACAGGATTAGGGTTTTAATTTGTTTTTATTCACAACATCTTATCCCACACACTTTATGCAGACGGCCAAACCAAACTTGAAGTTTGAAGGTTGTCAGATCGTCAAAAAAGTTTTATTCTTTTACTTAATAATTTCATTATTTTCTAAATTACCTATGACTAGAATCTCCTGAGGATTTGGATTTAGGATCTAGAATTAAAACATCAAATTTTTTTATTTTCAAAAAGTAGTTTGAGAAGCAAATGTTTCCCTGGTTGAGAGAAGAAAGTTTCCCATTTTCCTTACACAGAGGACACAGTTTAAACAATCAATTAATCAATTCAAAATATCTGTCAAAAACTAAACTCAAATTATAAATGACATCTCAAAATGCTTAGTTTACCTCAGATTCCTTTTTTTCTCCAATAATTTTATTCATTTTTTCTACCTCTTAGTCTGAAAATAGATAATTTTTTTAATAGATTTAAATAGTCTGTATTTTGCATTCCGTTAAAGAGATTGTAAGCGTAATTTCAAGTGACCCTCCATGCAAAGATGGCAATGTCTGATTTAAACCTTAAAAACTGATTGTTTTCAATTGTGGTTTCTCTAAAGAAGTGACTAGTGCATTTCTACTGCAGGAAAACATATGGAAATTAAACACTTTTAATTCTTGAAGAAATACAATATCAGTATTCAAGACCACAGAGGCGTAGTCAGGGGGGCTAAGGGACTAAGCCCCCCCCTGGACCAGTGAAATCTATGGATTTCAGGGGTTTTTCAGGCCCCAACAGGTGCTGAGCCCCCCCCCCCTGTAAAGAAAAAAAATCTAAGCCCCCCTGGACAAATTCATGGGTACCGTTGTGAATCTGACATGTCTATCTTTTCAAGGTGATTGTGTCAAAACTGAGAAAGGTATTGCAAACAAAGTAGGGGGAGACGTAGGACGCCCCCCCCCCCTCATTACCCAGGGTTTAGGGTTCAAGAGAAAAAGAAAAATTTATGTTTAATTGCTCACATTGTGATCAAATTCACGGCTTGCTGGGAAAAAGGCCGAACCGTTAATCGCCGTGCATTGTAGCTAAACCATGCACAAATGGTGGTTTTTAAAGTAAAGCACTTATATTATGTATTATAAACCAAAAATAAATAACAGAAAAAAATAATTTACAAATCATAGAACTCGGTTTAGCTCATGTCTCAAGGGTTCTAGTTTCAAAGTTCATATTTCAAACCGAGCATATTTATATTTGTCAATATAACGCCCATACATGCGGAAACAAATTCAGAATATAGAAGCTTTGAGTTTTATACCACATGAAAAATCAATTACTGCTCGTTATAATATTTGAGTTTATAAATATTATAATATTAATTAAATAAAAAGATTGTAATGTATACATATTACATACACATTTGTATTATATTAAATGTACATATAAAGGTGCAAAAATCTATTACATAAAATGTTCGAACATTATCAATCTTTCTCATTGTCTTGTATAAAACCTTTGTATGCAATTTGCATATATTGTTTTATGCAAAAATTATTCTGCAAAGAGTTGTCTAAACTTAGATAAACACCAGGGATCAAACAGTATTACGGAGAATAGAATAGAACTAGAATAGAACTAGGATAGAAGTGACAGAACTAGGATAAAACTAGAATAGAAATAGGATAGAACTAGAATAGAACTAGGATAGAAGTGACAGAACTAGGACAGAACTAGGATAGAAGTGACAGAACTAGGATAGAACTAAAATAGAAATAGGATAGAACTAGAATATAACTAGGATAGAAGTGATAGAACTAGGATAGAACTAGGATAGAACTAGGATAGAACTAGGATAGAGTAGGATAGATCTATGATAGAACTAGGATAGAGAACTAGGATAGAACTAGGAATAGAACTAGGATAGAACTAGGATAGAACTAGGATAGAACTAGGATAGAACTAGGATAGAACTAGGATAGAACTAGGATAGAGCTAGGATAGATCTAGGATAGAACTAGGATAGAACTAGAATAGAACTATAGGATAGAACTAGGATAGAGCTAGGTAATAACTAGGATAGAACTAGGATAGAACTAGGATAGATCTAGGATAGAACTAGGATAGATCTGTGATAGAACTAGGATAGAACTAGGACAGATCTAGGATAGATCTAGGACAGGTCTAGGATAGATTTGGGATAGAACTAGGATAGAACTAGGATAGAACTAGGATAAAACTAGGATAGAACTAGCATAGATCTAGGATAGAACTAGGATATATAAAGGATAGAACTAGGATAGAACTAGGATAGAACTAGGATAGAACTAGGATAGAGCTAGGATAGAGCTAGGATAGATCTATGATAGAACTAGGATAGAGCTAGGATAGAACTAGGATAGAACTAGGATAGAACTAGGATAGAACTAGGATAGAACTAGGATAGAGCTAGGATAGAGCTAGGATAGAACTAGGATAGAACTAGGATAGAACTAGGATAGAACTAGGATAGAGATAGGATAGATCTATGATAGAACTAGGATAGAACTAGGATAGAACTAGAATAGAACTAGGATAGAACTAGGATAGAGCTAGGTAAGAACTAGGTAAGAACTAGGATAGAACTAGGATAGACCTGGGATAGATCTAGGATAGAACTAAGATAGATCTAGAATAGATCTGTGATAGAACTAGGATAGAACTAGGATAGAACGAGGATAGAACTAGGATAGAGCTAGGATAGATCTAGGATAGAACTAGGATAGAACTAGAATAGAACTAGGATAGAACTAGGATAGAGCTAGGTAAGAACTAGGATAGAACTAGGATAGACCTAGGACAGATCTAGGATAGAACTAGGATAGATCTAAGAATAGATCTGTGATAGAACTAGGATAGAACTAGGATAGAACTAGGTTAGAACTAGGATGAGCTAGGTTAGATCTGGGATAGAACTAGGATAGAGCTAGAATAGAACTATGAAAAAAAAGGATGCTGGCAACAAAAATGCTTCAATCGTTTTCATAAGAATATATTTATTAATGTAATAAAATTATGAATTAAGAGCAATAAAACACAATTTATGAAAAAGTTCCCTGAGGTATTATCAGAGGATCTATTATTATTATATTACTGGTATGATATATTATGCATACATTACATTTATACTTGAATATGTGTTGATCAGGAATTGCATATACAACTCGATTTGAGATCGCAATTTTTTTAAATAATGAAACTGAAAAATGTATTACTAAGTGTATACGAAAGTCGACACTCAAAACCTTCTAACTCTCATGTCTTTAAAACAACTTTGACTATAAAATATGAAAAATTTACCGCCATTTTAAAATAGCATCCCTTCGTTTTCCTTAATTTTCCATTCACTTTTTTCATGAACAGTTTATTTCGTTCGATCATGATTTAAAATCAACTGTTTTTTCCCGTTCGGACACGGGATTTACCGTAAATTTTAGTTCTTTAACGGAACATTTTACGTATATTTTCAATACTATTTTGTGTATTGAATTAAATGTAACCCTTTGGAACTTTTCCTAGCTTTTCAATTTTCTATCTGGATCAAAATGTGTTTGGCCATTTTCTTGTTCGACTATGCTTTAAAAATCAAGTTTTGTTTTCTCAAGTATCAGAACACGGACATATTTCATAATTTAAAGGATATCGTTGTGTTGTGTCGATACCACTCAAATAAAAGGTGAATTATAAGTTAAAAGAACGATGACAATGTCGCAGACCTTAGATATTTCAAACTAGGAATTCCGTTAAATCAAATAATCTTAGCTAGAAATACAAAGTGAATAGAATATATATTAGAGTGGAATTTAGTCGAAAAAAGTGTTAAACGGCCATTTTGTTGTACTGTTTCCATACTGCAGGTGTACTTCACAAATTTGTGCTATATAACCTTTTGGGCCTTGGAACATCATTTTATTAAAAGCATAGAGAATAGAATATATAGAGAGGAATTAAAAGAATCTCTCGGTATGAATTTTTTCAGTCCCTTTCAGCCTGAAAGGGAGTTCAAAGTGTACAAGTCATGTAAATGTTCACAAATTATATGCAGCAGAGTACATTAATACAGTATGTTCCCTAGACTATCCATTTCAATTTCAAATTTTTTAAACTGTTAAATAACTTTATAATGAATTAGGTGAATAAAAACATCATTTGATTTATAGTTATAACGGAAAATCGTCGTTTGTAAAGTGGAAGGCATAGAGTCTATGTGAAGTGATCATTGGTCAATCATGAAACCAGCCTATTTCATAATTTGGTTTTCTTTTAACAATAATTTTAGATTTTCAATAAAATGATATTCCAGGGCCCAACAGGTTATATAGCAAAAATATGTGAAGTACAGCTGCAGTATGGAAACAGTGCAACAAAATGGCCGTTTTACATTTTTTTCTAGTAAATTCCTCTCTATATATTCTATTCTCTATGATTAAAAGTTTTCTTAAAAATTATTTGGTTTTCTCTAAATCAATTCTCTTCAGAATCTCAAATTCAAAAATTTTCTTCAACTAAATGTTTTGAAAATAAAATCTAAAAATAATATTAAATTATTAAATAGGCTGGTTTAATAATTGACCAATGATCATTTCACATAGACTCTATAGCCTGTCACTTTACAAACGATGATTTTCTGTTATAACTATAAATCAGATGATGTTTTTTATTCAACTAGTTCATTTACTTAAGTTTATTGAACAGCTTTAAAAAGTTCGAAATTGAAATGGATAGTCTAGGAAACATACTGTATTAGTGTAGTCTACTGCATATAATTTGTGAACATTTACATGAATTGTACACTTTGAACTGCCTTTCAGGCTGAAAGGGACTGACAAAATTCATACCGAGGGATTGTCTAAATTCCACTCTAATTTATATTTTATTCTCTTTGTAGAAATATCAAGAATTTATACCATGAGGCTGCAAAGATAAAGAGCTTAAAAAATTTGAGTTCCTTTATTTCACTAATTTTCATGAATCTCCATGAAACCTTGTCAACTGGCAAAAATTCAACGCTGCCCTTTGCAGTCTGCAGTCTGCACGTCTACTCCTGTAATTGAACTGTGTTGATGGTGTCTTGCTGTTTAAGCAAGCTAGCAGCTTCGTACGCTAAAAACATATGTCTAGGATAACCCCACCCCTGTGCAGTGTGCATTTATGCAGTTAAAAAGGTTCTCCAAATTTCCGGGTATAGAACCATATATATCAGTTTTTGCAAGGAAGATACTCTCATGATTTTGCGCGCTAAACTTTATGAAGAAAAAAAATTAATTATTCATTTAGTTTAGATTTCGACTATTTTGATTTTATTTAATAATTTTAAATCTAAACAAAATTCTTTCAAATTATTATAAAGTTCAACGACGACCTTTAAGTCGTCTCTCAACTGTCAGCATGATCAGTTATATGTAATTGTAAAGGGGTTTTCAAAT